TGTGTACTCACATCATTGGTTGAGTTCTCCAAGGGCACGAAGGAGAGTTTGTAGTTGGTGATGAAGAGCGAACCGAACCTACCACGGTCCCACTCGCTGAGCGGCGTCAGCATCACCACGCTGTGCGCCGCTCCTGTCACCAGCTCGCCTGTTCACAACAAGAGTTCATTAATCTATCAATTGGCTACGGAATATAGGTGTTTATTGGACTCAGTGCTTAAATGAACCGTCATCGGAATCCCGTAAGCGCCGTAAGATACACGGCTGTATATCGATGATATCATACTCAAGTTTCCTAGGATTATTTGACCTATAAATATTAAATCTATGTGATTTAGGTGTCTAGATCAGTTGGTCCATGTCTATGATCAATAACTAGTCATTTCTTTCCATTTCTATTCAAACAACGTTTTGTGTGATCCATTAAACCATTGTTCCGGATTAACGTGTGTTTGATGTGCACTAAAGACAGGAATAAGTCAAAACATAACAAACACTATTATATTTCAGCGTTTATTTGTCCATCAGTCGTATTATTAACTTCGACCTTATTTTATGGAAATCGTCTTTAGATCTAGTGGCAAATTAGTGGAAATCAGGATTCCCATTTTCCGTCTTCTACCTATTGCGTATTGTATGAGGTATTTTGTCTGTATGATTCGCTTATATTATCATTCAAATTGAGACGTAAACAAACTGAAAGTGTGAGTAGTTACAAGGGTTTTTTCTATCGCCGAGAATCATGACTGATGCGGACTTTTTTGTTACGTGGGTTCACGTCATCGCGAGATTTCTCAAGGTGACGTGTTATTGACGTAGAGCTTCGTTGCACTAGACTTGCCGGTAGGTACATAATGACGAACTATTTCATTACAAAAAGTCTCGAGTCTGACTAATTTTAGCACAATTTTTAACGAAACTATTTTGTACTGCGCGTTGGCATGAAATATGTAAGCGATCAATGTGAACAAAAACTATTGTTATGAAAAAATAAACCTAATCTTACTTGCATGTCGAAGATTGAAGATTTGTTTACATAACAACGTTAATGATTACATTAGCGATCACTTACATAAGAAAAAAAAATCACAAAAGGTTTTACTTTTTTCAGTTATAATAAACATGTTATCTATAAAAAAACGGCAACGACCTACTCGGACAGTGAGTCACTCGTTAATATTAATTTATAAATATTGCGTTACGTAAACCGCGCTCTGATTAACAATGTTAATATCTCTTATTTAATGGAGTTTTCATGTATTGTTGTTGTAAATAATGAAGCATTGCAAATTCGTATACCTACAATGCGTTCGATTTGAAATTTACATCGATGTGGAACTTAAAATATTGTATTTTGTTTCCTGGATTACTGGGTTTTCGAGCATAAATCCGGCAAACTATTAATTTATATCGTACCGAAAATCCCCAAAATATCGTTGTGTTGTTTAATGGGTAATACGCTCGAAGGTATGTAGAATGGCATTTAGAAACTCTATTTGAAAGAAGGTAAAGTAAGAATTATTAGACCGAAGGAACGGGTTGTTCTTGCAATTGGTAAAACTGTGCCAGCGACCTGTCTACAAACACTATCCTATTTGATTTTCATACTCGTAATCATTAAGCTATTGTTGTAATTTGAACGTAACATTTAGGCTTTATAATAGCAATTAATATTATACATAGACCAGTGGAATAGGATCTACTTTAAAAAGGGATTGTTAAAGAAACATTTTTCGAAGAGAACAAATTGACCCTCAACGCAAGATAAGTCCCAGGGGTTCATAGCAGCCGAGGACATTGATATATGCGAGAAATTACAGCAGAGATTAGTTTTACTTTATCGTCTGATACAATTGGACTTTCTAGCGGCCTTCGCACTCAACGATCTGGACCATAGTTTTTATCGCGATTCGTAGAAGGAAATAAGAATGATTTGCGCAATCCGCAGTGACCGTGAACGTTGTCTTTGACTCACGCTGTACCGTGCAGCGAAAATATTTGCGGTATTGTATGTATTTTGGCGGCTTACTCTTAGGCTTATGGTATTTCAAGGAAATCTTAAATGCATCATCACCGTTTTTAAATATTTGTAAAGTCTATTTTTTAATAATCAACGAGGTTTATGGTATTGAATGTTGTATCTACGCATAGAATAACCACATATATTTAAGTGCAACACTAAAGATATAGACGAATCATGAATATTATAGTCTTTTTATGCGAATATGCATACAATTTAGGGTGATGTCAAAAACACAGAATTGTTTGTTTAGTGAATCATTAACCGGTATATTCGGTATTTCGGTATATGTTTACAAATAGCAAGGACATACATTATCCTTGTTATTTGTAAATAAAATATAATTACTATACATTCTATGCTGTCAGTATATGATAAAATAATTTTGATAAGCATGCTGTGGACAAGGTCACTGATAAGGATAAATTATGTGTAAAATCAATTAGATAGCTATTGGGACAGTGTAAAACGCGAGCAATAAAATAGTTATTAGTTATTATATCGTACCTTTCCTCAGAACACCCATTGCGAATGACAATACACTATCAACTGGTGTATAGGACACCACTTCCTATCATCCATTTACTATGGCTCACTCAAGTTACCAGGCAATCATAAAAGGCGATACAGTTACGCGTTCGTAACGCATAACTAATGATTATTATTGTAATTTGCATCATGACTATACCTACTTGGATGAAATAAAAATATTTGTGTATAAACAGGTTACATTGTTTTGCCCTTGGATAGGACATAATTAAGATGACATGTTACGTGTCATTGACCTTTCGTAAACTGACGAATAGATAGCTGGACAAATTAAAAATGTTGGATATGAATACCAAATTGGTTGAGGTAAATGTTGTTATGTACATATTAGGTGTTGATTTCAACAATTAATTATTGTTTCCTTTCCTAGTCAAATTATACATAAAATATAGTCGAATCAAAGTCCTCTTGAAAGGTTATAATTACCTATCCAGGTTCCTTAACTCGTTGAGCACCGTCATTATAGACACAATTATAGAACGATAGGTTGCAGTCACCGGTGACCGCTAGATGTTTGACAGTTTAAGACTATTGTTAATATGAAAAGGTAGAAAGTAAATTTGAAATAGTTAACAATAAAACACGTACAAAAAGAGTAAAGTAAAGCAAACTTCTTAAAATACTCCAATAAGCAGATTATGAGAATAAAGAAAAATGTAGATGATTCTTTACGATTTTTTTGTGCTTAACACCTTGTGTGTGTTATAATTGAGGGGTATGGTTTCAAAAACTGCTAAGGCCATTTTTAGATTTATGTAATAAATAATAATACTAATATTTTTGTACTTCTAAACATAAGATAGTACTACGAGGCCTGGCTTACAGAAGATGTAACAGTTTTGCGAGGTTGTGGCAGGCTTGTCCCTAAACAAAAAGATGTACTACATACAGAGTAGAAATAGAGTAGACACAATAAAATATTTGGACAACTGTATTTCTTAGGTCTATGTTCCGTCAGGTCAGATGGGTTTAGGGAAACCACTATCTGCCTTTCTCAACCCGTTTAGAGTAATACAACAGCTTTGGTTAGGATAGGTATAATGTTGTCAAACATTTTTGTTTGGCCTTCTGAATTTAAATAGATTAAGAATTTATTTATAACTATATTCTGACTCTAACAAGAAAAACATATTGGAATTAGTTCCAGTGTTTTTCCTTAGAGCAATCAAATAGAAAATGCCAGCCTCATTTTGCTTGATTTAATAGTATTTTTACAGAATGATAGATATAAATTAATTAGTTAAAATCATTATCACACCACTTCACATAGGTTTTTTCTGAATAGCTCCAAAAATGGCAAATTGTAAATTACATAATAGAATAGGCTAATTGGAAAATATAAAATTAATAAGCAAATCTGCCCCTGACTAAACAAATTCTTGTTTAAGATTTATTTCTCTCATTCAGTATAAAGTTATTTAAGTGTTTAAAAAATGAATTAAATGTTATATAGGACTACTATAAATATTGTTTTCTTTTTATTACTCACCATTCAGAAGTTTTGGCTTCACCTCTTGCAAAGAACCATTTTTTTCTCCTTTACTCTGCAATAAAAGGAAAAAATTTGTACTACAGTAGACTGAAATTAGGCTATCTTTGTTACTTAGCTTGCACCATGTAGATGTTGTCAATGGAACAACTTTCTAACCTCTATCAAAATAAATAACAACACAGCAATATTATATTCTGAAAACTTGATCCAAAATTTACGTCTTAGTATCACACTTTAATAACACACTGTTCCTACTTACCAAGGGAGATACATTGATGTAACTCTTGAAGTTTTGAACTAACTTTTTCTCATTCATTGTAATCAAATAACACCAACACGGCGATGACCCACTTTGATCGTTTTCAACTCTGTTTTTAAATTATATATAAATAGATCCTTATATTAGGTTGAACGGAAGGTGATAATTGATTAAATTAACAGTTTTGCACATGATTCTACTAATTTTAAATATTTTTGATAACAATATTTGCGCAAACACTACACTATCTGGATGCAAATTATTCACTAATACATTAGGTTACTATACTTTAAAGGGTTTTTTGATTTGAACTAATCATAATGAACATTAAAATTACTATGATACGATGTCAAATACATGTTGTGAGCAATATTTTTATAATTTAAAATAATTACGACCCACAGCAACACGCAAACGATCAACGACAGATAAATGCTTGAATTGCCAGCAACGAATATTATTTCCTTAAAACGTGGCAGCACTGAAAAATGTAATCCATTTTCAATTAAATAAATATTTAAAATTAACTATAAGCTAAAAATAATTTACTAAATGAATTACTTATGCACCATAATATTTTTTTGAGAAATTAATTATCTCATAGACAAAAAGAGTACTTCAATTATAATTTATAATCTGTATCATTGCATCATCTGTGTTTTTCACTGAAAAATAACCTGACCATAGATTGTGCAAGTCTTATAAAAAAATGGCGATTGTTAAATTTTTGTTGAGAGTTTGAAAGCACAATCCTCAAGCACATATTTAAAACTTTAAATATCTGTTGGTGAAACTGTGACTATAATATTCTGAAAATGGCTGACGCTTTGGTAGAGCGGAGACCCACCGCTCGGTTTTTCTGCCACAGGTGTAACATTGAATTCGAAGATGTTTTGCAGGTAAAAATCAATAGTTTTGGTTATATTTCTCTCAGGTTGGGCCTCCCTTTAATCAATTACTTTATAATGACAAATATTACGTTATCCCTATGCAATTACAAGTCTATTTCACTTAAGAGTATAATGGGAGGCGAGATTTCCGTGGCTAATTTGCAATAGGATTCTTATTGGTGCAGCCGGTCGGTTCACAATACTGCGTGACATTTCTTTAGAAAATTGTTCTGGGGTCAGGATTGACGGAAATAGTCAATTTTACGCAATTACATCATTTGTGTTATGTAGGATTTTGTATTGTGAGCTTGTGCATATTTCTATATACCTACTCTGTAATTCGCATCCTTACTTCTCACAATAGATCCACAAATGTCATTGATTGATGTCAATAAGAATATTCAATCAGACTAGACAGAAACACCAAGGACATATTCTTATCAAAGACCTTGAAGAATCATTATGTATTAGTCACTTGTTACTCTAGAATATTGAGTTGTTTTACTAAATAAGCAGCCTCATAAGAAATGTCTTATGCACAGGGGATGCCCCTGTTATAAACCTTGTTAGCTAAACCCAAACATTATCAATAGTAAACATAAATTTTCTTATTCCAGGATTATACATGCCCATACTGCGCTAGTGGTTTCATTGAACAGCTTGAGAATGAGACAGAGGGCCTGGCATTATCAGGAGATGACTTCAGTGATGCGGACATGAGCAATATTGATGATATGAGCAATATCGATGACATGAGCAACCTGGACGACTCGGATGAGATACACCACTTGTCACAAGTACTATAATATCATTAATTACTTAGTCTATAAGAAAACTATAGAAACACACATGAAGCTGCTCTAATTAGAATTTGTTACTTGATTTTCATCTCTATTGTTGATCTGGATAAAGCAGCTTCTAGTGCTAACATCTTTACTATAATGTTACACATTCCTAATGATTATACAAACTAAAATATAATGTTATGATTTTAAGGTTTCATTATGGTAGGACACTTGTAGCATATAATGTTATTGTAATCATCCATCTTGGTTTAAGTGTTGCAATATAAGCCCTTGATTTTTTGCATGTAGGTATAAACATTAATAATTTATCTGTAATTTAAGTTGTCAGATTTATATCCAATGATCTGTGAATGAATCAAACGGGACGATACTGTCACTACTCAGTAGCCATTCAAGGGAAAAAAGATTCTCTGTTAGACTTTGTATGTAGTAACTAATCTATCCACCATCTTGCATCTACTTACGGTTATTTAGCAACGTTATTGATTAAATCATTTTTTATCTGATATAAATATCTGATAAACATAAAACGTAAGTCATAATGACCATTTCCAAATTGATTTTATTATGTTAGTAATCTATTCATTTGCATAGTCTTTTTACAAAGAATGTTCCTAATATAGCAGTTGATAAATCTACAAAGTAAATCTAAAAATAAAAAAAAAATATTTTTAACATGTTGGTAAACAATATTTTGAAGTTTTGTTTTTACATCACATTTAATGATAGTTTAGTTAGGTATATTACAATAATAAACATAAAGACAGTCATACTCATTACAGACAAGATAAGAGTGCCATGTTCAGACATGTTTATGAAATTACTTTTATTATTGTATGTTATAAGGCGCATAAGTTTGCGGCCTGGCTAATAAGTATGTCAGGACTCCCGCGGGATGTGGCCGCTCTAATTTGACGTGGTTGTTATCGCGTGTGGTCGCGTGAGGCGACATTTCTGCCACCACGTGACGTGGCGATGTGTAATGATAACAAATGTTTTGATATTCCCACTGCCGGACCGCCACGCCACTTTGTACTCCACGTGGGCGCACGAGATATAAATAGATTAGATCGATTATCCGCATTCATTATACTGAGAACGCCTCAGCCATATCTGTCTTATTACTTTCTTCAAATCTGATAAGAATCAGTGTTGAATGTTCTAGATGTTTATGTTTTTTTTTCTAATCAAAGATAACTGATAAGAAGAAGTAACAAGTTCATCTAAGATGAACGCTTATGTTAATGTTCGAGTCTACATTGATTGCACAATAATTTCAAATGATGGATAGCAATGTTCCTTGTGTAAACATGGTCACTACTTTACATACTCCTCGTATGTAAAGTAGTGACCATGTTTATGTGTTGTGATGTCCTTCATGACGTCATTGTCATTGTTAAGTCGACCGTGTCACGCTAGTTGTATGATTTTGCCCTATATGTCGAAATAATATCATTCGACTAAGCATGCCATTGGAAGACTAATAAAATTTCAGAAACATTTTTAGCCTTATAAACTCAACACAACTGGTTATTAGTTGTATTGTAAAGAACTGAGAATGTCGGAATTAGAAATCAAGAAATAATTTTCAGTGTGACATTTGGGTCATTAATTTCGAAAGTTCTTTTTTTTCTGTTACACTTGCAAGTTTCAACCCACTCAACTACTGACCTACAAGACAGTCAATGCATTTTCCGTCATTTCTATCTTTGTTTCATGATACCACTGAAGTAGGACCTACCTAGTATTATTTATCTTAATATTACGTCTTTCTTTATTTCAGGGCACCCCTCCAATGTTGAACGATCTCGCATTCCTAATGTCCGGTGGTCGGTTACGGTGAGTAAATAAAACAAAATCAAACAATTTATCCAAATAACTCATGAACTATAAACGTTCCTTCCAATGTCTGAAGATACTTCCAAATCCAAGGCCAAACTGTAATTACAACTCCACAGCGGGATATAAACCGTATAAATTGATCTTGGGCAGTGCGTACGCACGATGATTCCGGCTCAGGGTCATATTTTAGGGGTTAAAATCGTTAGCCCAGTTACCGAAGGCGAAATACAATGAATTGGTTATTTATTGTAGTTTGTTCGCCGAACTATTGGGTGGAATGTGGGAAGAGGAAGAATAGCGCGAGGCATCGTCTTCGTGAATCACTCGTTGTGGGACATACCTTGGAAAAGTCCATTAGTCATGTTACGCCATACTCGCTGATGGCCGAGGTAACATACCAATAGATGACGGTCTTAATACTCAATCAACATTTAACTAAAGTTTAGTATGGTGATCTATATGTAATGCATTTATGTTACAGTAGAGGTGCAGGGCGAAGGGAGACACTTATGGAACAGTTGGTGTGGATGATAGGTGGCGCTAGACCGGCTACTGGGGCCGTGACCGCAGGAGCACCCTTCGTGCTCGTCGGAGCACCCGGGGACTATGTGTTTGGCGGTGAAGGTAACTGAACATTTCTTTATCGGAACTTCTTACGGGATATTTACCATGTTTTTTACTGGCTGAGAAGTTTATTTTTAATGTAAATGAATGTGTTTCCAGGTTTAGACGCAGTAGTGACACAGTTGCTAGGCCAGCTAGAGAACGCGGGCCCACCACCCCTACCGCGGGAGCAGATTGCGGCGCTGCCGTCTGTGGTCGTTACCGAGGACCAAGTTGCCGCCAACACCTCCTGTTCTGTCTGCTGGGAGAACTTTCAGTCTGGTCAGTGTTATATTTTATTGTACACTAGTTGTTTATTGTAGCGCGGAGCACCCTGTGTACGAAGGTGCTTAGTCCTGTAATTTTGGTCACTTTTCAATAAGTTTGTGTAAGGTCAAAGGTCCAAAACAATTATCTAGTAATTTTTACTGAATGTTTCCAATTCCAGGTGAAACAGTATCTCGGTTAGAATGCGACCACATCTTCCACGCGAATTGCATCGCGCCCTGGCTACAGCTGCACGCGACGTGTCCCATCTGCCGGCGCTCGCTGCTGGCCGAGGACGCGGACGCGCCGCCTGACGCCGCGCCGCCCATTGCGCCCGCTGCACCCGGCGCCCCGCCCGCCGCGCCCGCGCCCGCCACCCCGGCCGACGCTGCCACCAATCAGTACCGTAAGTCTTCCTCTACTATTTGCATTCTTGAGCAATTACAGTTATACTCTAGTTAGATAATGCAATTTGATGTCTGTTTACAGCGTCTCTAACACAACTGCTAGTCCGGCGACTACCGCGGCGCGCGGGGCCCGGCGGCGCGGGCTGGGCGGCGCTGGGAGACTCCAGCAGTTCGTCGGCTAGCATGTCGACGTCGTCCTCGATGACGACGGGCGCGGTATGGCCGCCGCCGTCGCGCTCCAACACCAACTCCACCAGCTCTAACTCGTCGTCCTCGCTCAATTCCACGGAGCGGGAGCGCCAGTACAACATGGACATTGACTTCGACTAGGGCTCCGCGCCTGATCTGCTCGCCTGGTACTTTATCGCTTGACAGTGACGTTCGCCTCGGCAATGGTTGTGTTGGTGAAGTGTTATGTTGTGATGTGACCGTGATACGATATTGTTGGATAGTAAGTTGAATCGTTTATTTTTTTATTTATGTCAAATTGATAATATTTTTTCATAATGTCACATGAATACGACCATTGTACGAGATCTATGTATAAAATATATAGTTATACCATTACTTAAAGTTCTTACTTCTAGATTAGATCATCATATAAAGGATCAGTCGGAGTTGTGTGCCTTTCATTTGTATTTGCATTGTAGTGTAAAAGTTCCATACAAAAGGACACAGTTGTAATATTGTTCAAATGTCACATGCTTTGTAAGGCCGAGCACTATGTCCTATGATAGAGACAGCAGTGTGTACGTACATTGTAACATTATTGTAACTCATATATTTTTTGTTTGAAGTTTGTCCCCAACTGTGTACAAAAATTCATGAGTAAGTAACAGTTAATGTTTGTCATCTGCAATTTTCTTTATTGCATTCATTTTATTCTTTTGTAAATTTTGTAAATATGCATGTAAGTTTAAGAACTTTGCTATAAGCTGTAGTATATTAATACTCAGATAAATAGCTGAATATATATTTCGCCAAATGAAGTGATTTTAAATTGGGTTTTATTGAAATAAGGGGAGCCTTTTACTAATACTACATATTATTACTATAATCATCTAGTTATCCAAGTATTGTATATGTAAAAGGAATAATCCCTAAATGTTGACAATGCAAGAATCTTTGAATTGATTAAGCACATAATAAATAATATTTTTTGTATATAGAGAAAGTTTAAAAGAATAATACTTATTAGTTTTTGCTTTTTGGAAAAAAGTCTTTTTTGTAGTAGTATCCTTTATTTTGGAGAAGATAATTACTCACTAGATGTTATTTAGTGAGTGTATATGTAATGTTAGACGTAGGGCAAGTAACATATTGATTGGTTGGTATTACGTAACACCGCGACTAGACTACACTGGTAGGACCGCGGTGTGTGACGGGTGCTTGCGTTGTGTGAGGTCCCGGGTCCTAGACTACTAATATAAGATATATGGGGCTGTGAGTGCATGAGAACATTAAATTATTTTACTATTGTAATATTTCGTTTTGACTGTGTGTTCTGGTTGTGGTTTGCTCAAGTGTATAGCGATACAAGTTGGTTTGAAGATGTAACAATTCATATTACACTCACTATATCAATATAGTGTTCTTTCAGTTTTCAATTTTCCTTATATGTATTACGATAAGACGAATATGTGGAGTGTGAATGTGATCTTAGAATATTTAGATGTGTCTATCTTCTTATTTTTGTAATACACATGTGGCAGGAACATTCCTGGAAGTGATCAATCATTTAATTCCACAATGTTAGCAAAGTGAGAAGGTCTAACGAAGAATTATATTCTAAACATAATGTAGTGGAGTATCCCCAGTGAAGTGCGGCTTCAGTGGAGATTATTGAGCGTGTTAGTACGCGGCGACCGTGGCCTCGCACTACATTACGGATGTAAGTAATACAACAGCTCACAAACAACATTTCTGTAATAGCTGTTATCGAGAATCCAATGTTCCTATACAACACACATAGGTTACTTACTAGTGTTGATTGGACAGATGTGTCACCAAGCCCACTCGAGCTTATAGCTACTGGCGCTTCTATTGACCCTAGGCACGAGACGATAGCTCTGTATAACATTATGTATTTAGTTATTACTCGCCTAACTATTACTCCTAAGAATAAGGTAGAAATCATTTTATTAACACGCTTATAGGATCTTGGTGATTCATGTGTCTCAAAATATGCATTTCAAATTTTAGATCCAGGGCAACCGGATCTTAAGACTGATCTCTTAAGTGATAAACTACTTAAGGTAAATAAAATTTGAAATTGTATTTTTGTATAATCATCACATATTCGTAGTATAGGCCTAAATATTCAAAGAGTTGGTGGAGAGCGGACCTTTGTGACATCTAAACATCTTGTTTGGTGAACTATCGTTAAAAATGTCAGCACTTCTATAAAGTATTTTCACCTGGCTCATATTTATTAGTAGGTAGGTTGGAACACGCCAGTTTAACGTAAATTACGGTTGGAAGTAATTCATTTGACATGGAACTTTGTGCAGTAGCGGTCGGCCGGCGCCGCTGTCTGTAGGGCGGTGTCATAGACAGGTGCGGAGTGAAACACATTAGGATTGTTGATCGCTCGTGCTGATACCAGCATTAATGTATTTCGAAAACTATCGACTCTAATAAAACATTGAATCGATATGTTCAGTCCAGTGTTATGTTTAATACTGCGTTCATATTGACAAATATATTTATTCTAAAATGTAGTACATAATATAAAATAACTAGTTTTTACACATTTTTATCTGATCATAAAATAGAGGTGGTAACTAACAAATATGAAATATACCTGTGCTTACTATTGTTTGCCTTGAATGGTTTAAATTAAATGAAAAAGAGTAAAATTAGAATGCATTCACTATCACGGCATAACAATGGTTCCTGGCAGGTCACTCATTGGTCTGTGACCATTTAAAGACTGCATCTGTCGAGAAAATTATTATAAGAAGTTTTATATTACTCATAGTTTAGAAATATAATATAATAACATTGTGGCATAATAATGTTCACATATAAATAAATTTAGAGATTAAATGAATTCAAAAGCAGAAAAAATATAAGTAACTATTTATTGTAGTGATAATCATAATCATATTGTGACGCACAAAGTTCCATATCAAATGGTCGACTTGTTACATAATGTATAAAGGCAGTCATGTAAAAACGTTAAAATTACTAAGGGAATGTAAATGTTTAAATAACATAAAATTTTAATGTAAAGTTTGAAAATAAATGCAAGTATATTGAGTTGTGTGTTGTTATTTTATTCCTGCGACTTCGTGTTTTAAGAATGTGCCCGCCAGGTGTTCCCCAAGGAGTATTTGACCTGTCAATAAAAATATTGGCAGTTCATTGCACTCGCATAAGCCTGTTAAAAATATAATTAGGAACAGAGGCTATACTTCATTATTTTTTTCTTGTAAATAAATATGAACTGGACGTCTAATCTATTAAATTAAACCACTCTAATGTGTGACGAGAGTGGTTAAGGTACCACAGGTAGGTTAATTATAAAGATGTACCAGGAGAGCAGATGCGATGACACGTGCGCGGGCTCCGCTCGGACGGCCACTATAACCCCCATGATTTATTTATATTGGGTGCAAGTTGACCCTTTAGGAACAGGGAAGTAAAAAAAAACTAAGAAAGGTACTACTTATGTGCATCAATTTGAATAATTTGGTGCCTAAGTTATTTTTTTTCACAACAAACAGGTGAAGAGTATTATGAAGTAGCTCGTAGATAAATGTCTTAAATAAATTATAGCGTTTTATTATAATTGGATTAAAATTGTGGTGGAGTAATAAAATGGTACAACTAAACTATGTTGACCTGTACTGCATAACAAAGAAACTTTTCTTATATAAGTACCTACAAGTTTTATAGGATAAATAAACCATCACGCCATTTAGTGCCCAGTGCACTTATCAGCGTAATTATTAATAAAAGCATGAACAATTTTTAAGTGCACTCACTTTTAAAATGATATGCGATACTGCTTGCATCAGAGTAACTAAGTTGATGTAGGTAGGTAGGTAGGGCACACTTACAAAAGGTTGGCATTCTTTACTCTGCAGGGAGTGTATTAATGCTATTTATTAGTGTAAACATCTTTATTGCAATCTGTTGCCATATATTTACGCAACAACAAGCTTGAAGCAAGGTGCTTTTTAAAGAGGGTAAAACAGGTAGGTGTATGTATCATGTATTGATATACGTTGAATTTAAACTAGGGATGATTTGTACTGTAGTTACATTTGACAAATCTTGAGCTTTTCCCCGCCTTTCTTTCAATTACGTTCTTTGTTTAATAGGTAGGTACTTATGTACATATAGTCAGAATTTTAATTAGATTCCAGATTTGACAATAGCTACTGTCATTTTGTGAAATAATGATACCACATATAATATTGTAGTGATGAAAACAAAAATCAGGAAACGATCAGTGTGTGTGTGTTTTATAATAAATGTTACAGAAAGTGACAGGATAGCGATAGCAATGACGGCGACAATTTATAAAATAACTTATTACCATAATACATCTATCTGTTTTATTTGTCATGTTCCTTCATGATTACAATTTTTTATTTATTTCACACACAATTATAAAAGAAAGGTCTTAGATCGTTAATTAATTGTGAAAACTAAATTATCGGTTCAGAAATATTTAATTTCCTGATATACTTAGTTTACGGGAGTAAAATTATAGACGAGAAGAATCGATCCAGAAATATTGCATTTCCATATCGAATAATTTCGCAACGTCACTATTTAGTACTTGTCATAACGTTGCAACACTGAAATTGTCAAATCTGGAATCGAATTAAAATTCCGAGTATAGTTACAACTCCAACGTCCTATACCTACCTACCCAATTAGAATGTTAAGAACTGCATCGATTGGATTATACACGGCGCCGGCGGTTCAATCTATCTTTATAGTCTCAGGCGCATCTAAAGAAATACATACCTAGTTCTGTAAACAATAAAAAATTAAGTTAACAATAAAAAAAAAACAAACGATTGATTACTGCATTCATTTCGTACCTACCGACTATAGGTAAGAGCACCCCTGTCAAGGCTTTTAGTGGTTTCTGGCGTGACGGCACCGTTACATAACAATGTAACAACTGTTGCTATGAATATTATGGCTCATTTAATTTAGTTGATAGACAGCAGAAGGTGTACCTTCATATAATTAGGAAAGGGATGTTTGAATCGTAACGGTTTTATTCAATTGTGACCTGGAAGAAGGAATTCAAAGTTGAGTTGTCTAGAAGCCTGTGTATTTTCATTGCCTTTTGTGGCACACGAAGACTTGTTCCGGAACCGAACCCACTATACGTTGGTTGGCAGTGACACGTTTGGCAACACTGTGACAAACGTGCAGTCCATATTTATAAGTAGGTATTAAACAAATATTAATAGTATTTCTAATTAGTAACTGCTTATTAGGTGAATAGAGTAGTACCTATAGCAAACGCTCGAAGTACCCACTTAATAAGATTGGTACAACAGCTGTCTCCTATCGACTAACAGCTAACATTCCGGGACGTTAAATATGACCATAACTTATAACAATCATAACTTAACAGCGTACGCGCCGATATTTTATCGCTCCTTATATTTAATTTAAATCCAGGATCACACGCGAACGCGGCCGACACAAAACGATACAAAACTGATGTGGTGCGGCGAGGTAAACAAAACGAACGCGCGGGCGCAATGCAATTATTACAAAGGTGCGTGCGCGCAGCTGACACCGCACCTGCCGCCATCTTTAACATTTCTTTGAGTTTTTTTTCGCCATCGGAGTTATTGGCCTATTTTTTATGGCGCAAGCTGTCCCGGCAGCTGACGGCGCATGTGTGTGGATAAAGGCTTTGTTGCCGTTGACTGGCAAGACAAGGATTCCTTAAGGCGCTGTCTAGGATAATAAGGATGACGCCAGCTGCTCAGATTGAAAGGTTTGTACCTTTGCCACGACCCACGTGGATATCACCGCCTATTGTTATCGCGTCGTCTTATTTGAGTTTTATAAAAGTTCTTTGTAAGTTTTGTATGTAGAGCGCGCATGGCACTGGGACACATGGGACTAGGGATTTATCTATAGGATCACGTCACGTAGTTACTAGTTGACTATGTCTATGGGGTCATGAATGATCTATGGACTATTGTTTAACTAACTTATAATATAAATAACTTTGTTTCGGTATTTTTCAATATACACTTCGAAGAATTTAAATAAAATAACATAGGTGCCTACTAGGGTTAATGGGATAGGTTCCTCTGGAATTGTCTGCTTTTCAATGTGTGCTTATCTCACAATACTTACACCTCTTATTAGAAGAAGAGGTCAGGTCACTGTTGTCTACATCTTTGAGGAATAACAGTTAAAATGTTATGTTTTAATAATACCTAATGCACGAGTTCCTATTAGAACTTTCTTCGTGCAAATATCTAGTTAAAATATGTGAATGATAAATAGCTACAGGATAACCAAGGCCTTCCTCAAGCTGCTCATATTATGCACAAGATGATTCTAGAAGTATTAAGCCCCTGTTCGAACGTGAGTCTACGTGGCAACGTACAATCCATATAGGATTGTATGTATGTGTGTAATCTTTTACTTGAACATTGCACGAACAACTTCATTAACAAGGTAATATCTTTGTTTTTCATCTTTACACATTTTCAGTAGACTGCTCCTACCTTAAAAGAATTTCGAAACGTATCCATTAAGCTGTTTAGTAGAGCAATTCCAAAATTGAAACCATAACTTATGACTCTGACAATAAACACTAACAAACATAAATCATGTCGAGTCTTTCTTGAAGAGTTTGCCTGTCTGAACACTACCACAGAATACTAACACTATTCGGAAGCTATAAGTTGTACTGTAATAATAATATTTCATATTACAGGCTACTTAACCCTCCTGTTAAGTGGCCAAATTAGCAAAATTGTTGGAGAATAATTAGGAACACAGCAGTGAGCAGGAGGTGAAATCATGGGGAAATAACTACTGCAGTCATAAACCACGAGTCCCTGCATTTCCATAAACTTTGCCTGTGTATTTCCCTCCCCTTTTTTATGTATTTATCGTTTATTCTATTTAGGTTAATGCTCCCATTAATATGCGTATTATCCCTTTATGACAAAGTGGAGACAATATTGTTTTCGGCATTCGGATTTTATCGATCAATAACTTAATGGGAATTTTATGATACTGTTAATTGTATTTGATTTGATAAGGGAGGGTTGGAGGGCTGCTATTACATGAATTAAATAGGGAAAGTACTGTAAGGATGGATTTAATTATTGTATGTGAAGTACAGAAACAGTGTTTGACTAGGATTGTGCTTGCTATATAGTGATAGGTTTCACCACTTTCACCATACGATATTGTTGGAGTCCCTATTGTAAAACTGATATTTTTTTGATTGATAATAGTGCTGTAAAGATTTCACCTAGTATTTAAACCACATATTTATATTTTAATTCGAAAATGGTGATGATCACTATTTCTCATAAAATTTTCCTATAGCTTACCTACATATTATACAAAATAGATATAGCTGACACGTGCCGCTTAGTAGGCGTACTATCGGAAGATACAGGTATTCGCTTAGTACTGTAGGTGTTTAATTGTATTACTCTCGTTTCATGGTGCCCTGGTCGTTGTATGAGGTCACGGAGGGTTGTAACGGGGTCGAGGACTCCGGTCACACCCCTGCTTCCACCATAGCGTTACTATGCACGAGTATATTAATGATTTTAGTCCATCCATGCTTAGGTTGTTATGATTAAATAGGCGGCCGAAAGTATAGAGTTACAGTTAAGTCCCAATATCAAGAAAGCCCCCACCCTGCAGGTAAGTACACAGTACATACACAACCATCGGTTAAAATTCTAATCAAGTAAACAAAACTCTATGCTATGCAATATTTGTATTATGTTTACTAATTGTTTTAGTCATACACTATAACTGCTAATTCAAGATTGTTTTTATTAATAAGTTAGCCACTATTTAAAGTCGAATGCAACCTGTTCTAGGCGGATTACACAAAAAACTAGACCGAACCGAAACAATGTGAAAGATTCACCATGAATGGCTTGAACTTGAATTAACCCTTTTATAATTATAAAACGGCCCTAAATAACAGTAAATACGGTGTATTAATAGTGACTGAGACCCGAACAGGGATAATAATAGCGACATAATTAACGGGTTGGGTTGACTGGCCT